TAAGAAGTGCTTGAATTGTGGTTCCGAAGATCACCGAGTTAAAGACTCTGCCAAGATCGGCCTTCAAGAGGAGAGCCGGGACATGAGCCAGGCTGTGTAGCGGCAACCTCTCACACTTGAGTGTTGTAGGACCCTGGCTTCCAGTTCCTGAGCTAGGCACGGACGATGGAAAGAGGATTGAAACAGGGATGGAAAATTGGGCTGGTTCTTCAATTGAGGTAGTCCCAGAGTCCAGCGCGCAAGTAAGTCCAGCACAAACGGAAGCACACATGGAGACAGATCACAGGCAGATCACAGCAGTTCTGCAAGTAAGTTTTTAGGCTCCCACGGGTGGCTTCTTCTTTCATTTTTGTGGCAGCAAGCCGGAGCCTTCAAAACCCCTGCCTGCACATCCAAGGCTCCTCCAACTGAGCTGGCTGCAGAAAAACCGATTAGCGATAAGCGGCTTGTTCGTGACACCAACAGTAGGTAGTGCTACTGGCAGCAGCTAGGTTTCTTCCTGCACTGCATCAGTGACCTTTGACCCCGGAGCCTGCGGGTTGTTGGATTCCGTACGGGGGCCCCCACACAGCCTTGCATTTTATCCGGCTGTCGTGCCCATTCGCTAGTTGGCCTTGAGATATACTTCGGAGCAGTGGAGGGTCAACCCTGGCCCAGTGTGCTTGCATTCTGAGCATGTGATGTTTCGCCGAATTCTACACCCAGCTCCATCAGGTAGCGAAAACAGATTCCTTATCCTGTCCTTCACGGTTCTCTATCAGACCGCTCCTCCCATCAATGCCACCATACTGGTGACACTCGGTGACACGCTGTAGATTGCTCCAAGAGAGCACTGTCTTCCGTTTGTCAACTTCCATAATTCAGCTTCCAGGTAAAGTTTTGTGCAAGGTGTGACACACGCAACACACATCTCAACTCACTTGCACCACCTGTGCCATGATGGATACCTTAGCCCCTGTGTTACCTTCTGCTCCGGTGGACTTCCGTGATGTTTGGAACGAAAACGAACATGCTGAGCCTGCTTGACTTTAAACTTCTTACGTCAGGTGGAGGTTCTGTTTCTGCTGGAGCAGCGCACTTCTCACCTGGAGCTTTCAAGGGACGCGAACTGCGAATCGAGTCGAGATGAGAAAAATGGCAGGGGGCGTCCACTTCCGTTCGTGGGAGATGCGATCGAGTGTTTCATGCTGTAATTTGCCTCAAGCGGAATAGCACACGCGCAACCATGGCCGAAACTCTGAAGAGTTTGGAGGCATGTTCCATTGATGTTGGTGGTGGTTAGTTGGGATGTTTGTTGTTCCAGGCACTTGGCTTGCCTGTGATGCGGCAGACCCCTGAGATGGAGCAAACTTATGTCAGTGGCCCAAGACTGTCGCGCTTGTATCCAAGGACCTCAGGCTGCTGATGTTCACACAACATTGGCCAACTGGCCGTTGTCACCAAGCGTGTTTTTGTTGATAGGCCGCGTGCTTCTGGCGCTTTTCCACCCCTTTGCCCTTCTGCCGCGGTCCGGGGCGCCATGTAGTTCGAGCTTGGCGGCTTGGCTTTATGCTTCCTGCCAAGGTCGCCTTGCCTGATGCTTCTTTAGAAAATGCAGAGACCAAGGTGGGGGAGCACCTTCCATCCTTTGATCACACCGTAGACGAGCTCAAGAGTTGAGGGTTAAGGGGTCAGAGTTTGGGGGTTAAGACTTTAGGCTTCAGGAGTTTAAGTGTTTGGGGCTTAAACCGAAATGCAAAGATCGGGGAGAACAGCCGTTGCCATTTCGCGGCTTCCAAAACAGGACCGGGTTCAGGGTTGTAAGTTATGAGGGCCTTTGCAGCATCGAAGACCTGGGCTGTTCGGGTTACGGAGGCTTACTAGGAAAGACCTACAAATGGCTCCCCGTTTAATTTGTTTATGTTAGATCAGTGACTTATATCCCCTTCAGTTACAGGATGCCCAAAACTCAGCTTCAGGTCATCCCAATACAAGCAGGGGGCACCTCCCAGTCACTCAGTTCGGGCAAATACTGCGACGATGGAAGCCGGATTTTGAGGGTTTGGGATGTACAGTTTTGGGCGGGGTCATGATGTACAAACAGATGACAGACATACACATAAATCTGTATATATATATATAATACATATATATATATATTTAGACATACACATATACATACATACACATGTACATACATACACATATACATATCTTCATATATGCATTAACACAGCCCTGATTGTTGTAATTTGGCCCAAGTTCCTTAAACACATCCAACAGCCCCCCTGCTTCACCAATCGCCGATTCCATCAGCGTAACTGTGTGATCCTAAGTACGGGCAGCTTCATTGCGCATTGTGCTATTGTGGAGGCTGCGAATTCGGGCCTAAGTGGCTCTCAGACTGAGGCACGAATCACAGCAAGGGTATTCCATTATTTTTTGATGCTGTTTTGGGGGCCGCCGTTTTGCACTCAGATTTCTCTTGCCGAGCCCGACATCACCTCCGAAGTGGAGACCGGCTTGGCGCGGGTGCGTCTGTCCCAAAATCCTTGACCTGACTTGCGCTAGCTTGTGCTCCTAAGGACAAACATGGTGATGGGGATGAAGCTGAGGGCGATTGCATATTGAAGGAGTGCATCGTGGACTGTTGGGCAGTTTAACCTTGTAAGAACTCTGTAAGCATGCTCTCACTGCCGTACCTCAAGATGAGCAAACTCCCTGTCAGATGCTGACGACGGCGCTGACTTCTGCCGACTTGTTCACTGCCGCCTCCAGTGATAGATAGACCTTGCGAGGGTACATATGAAGGTGCCGTCCAATCAAGTTTTGCAGTTGGGGAGCGAAAAGCTTTACAGTGCCTTTAAGAAGCTTGGGAAAAAAAAGAAAGCGGTGTTCGCGGATGCACGTTTCTGTGATGGCATTTAATCATGCGTGATTCATTCTGAACTTGCCGTTCTTAAAGCATTCGCGTTTGGCCAGTGGCATGCTACAGCTTCGCACGCTTACAATGTGAGTCAGCATTTCGGCTTCAATCCTTCCACCGCACCCCACACAGGCAGGGCTTAGTATGCAGTACACTTGGGTGTGGTTGAGCCGCTGTGATGCAAAATGGTTCAGTTTTCCCAGTTAGGTGTGTATGTGTGCGTGCCAACAGTTCCCAGCTTCGACTCCCAGGTGCATTGGAGGAGCTCCGCAGTTTGTGCGTTGTGGGCTTGGTGGTTCCCATAGACGTGCTTACCAAGTAAAGAATTGCGTTCGTCATAGACATCACATTTCAGGTTGCGGCGTGTGGGAAAGTTACCGCCCCGCACTTAGCCGTGAGGTTTTTTTTCATGTTCCAGGAAGCCACATATCGACGGGCAGTTTCTGACCTTGGTGTTCGAAGAGCTTCCCCGTGGTTCCCGCACTGTTGCGCGAGGCTCCGCGACGGCGCTGTTTGAAAGATCGCAAGGCAAGACGGCTAGACACTAATCGCTTCTGCTTCTGAAGCCTGAGCCTTTTCCACTTCCGTCAAATGCATTTGCAGCATTTTGCTGCTGCTGCCACCAGTCCCACCGTAGCAGTGTAACAAGAGTGGGACAAATTCCCTGCGTTTGTTTTGGGAGGTGCGTGTGCAGTTGGACAAGCTGCGGCTGTTGCACTCGCTCATCAAGGAGACGCGCCTGAGTTTGGCTATGTTTGCTGAACACACGAGAGCTGCAGGAGTACTACGATCGAAAGGGAAAGGCACCTGACTTACACATCTATAATCTAGATGCTGCAGCGCTCCAACCTATAGCAGTCATGAAGAATGCGAAGCTTTGGGTTAATGTCTTTTCCGCTACAGTACTCTCGTCTCCGACAGTCCCGCCGGCTCCCGACATGCTTTGTGATTCAGGGGCATGTAGACACTTCAGGCGTTGCAGGCTACGCAACCGCCGCCGCAGCCACTAGCACTGTCAGCACCCACGCCGGAAGGGGGTGGCTCACAGCAGCCCTCAAGTTGCCCCTCCAATGAGACGAGAAGGAGCAGTACTACCACCAGCGGATGCAGGGTGGCAGGACTCGGACAGTGCGATGATCGAGGAGGCTTGTGATTAATTGCAGCCAGACGACTTGCCGGAGGACCCGACAAAGATCAGGACAAGATCGAGGAGACGATGGCCAAGTACCCCCCTCTACCGAGGAGCTACAGTTCCAGGGTATCCGACATTCGTTGAGACAATGCCTGTCTTTCGAGACCCTCGAGTGCTCTACACCTACGAGAGCTCTCACTCTGATGGAGTCCCCGGACACGAACTGGGGCCGATAGGCCTCGTTGTATGCCCCAAAGGTGTTTTGGGACCGCGAACTTGCCCCGCCTGTTAAGGCGTTTCGGATCGACACTTCAAGCTACTTAGGCGGTGCACACGACTGATCGCACGGAAATATGTTTGGATATGTCATGTATCTATTTATGTCTCTATCTGCCTATCTATATATATCTATCTGTCTGTCTATCTATCTAGATAGATAGATAGATAAACAGTGAGATAGATAGTTAGGTAGATAGATCGATACACACAGTTAGGTAGATAGATCGATACACACACACACACGCACGTGTTTGTATGTATGTGTGTGTATATATACATATATATTTTTTATATCTATCTACCTATCTATCCATCTATATATCGCTTTTCTCTACAAATCTTTGGCTAGTCGTGGGGGAGTTTGGGGTTGTCGGTGGCTCGAGGGTTCTGCTTCCCTTCACCCATATAAGCACAAGTAGCTGTACTCTCCGACATGGCTGAAGCCTCAACAGCAGCAACAGCAACATCAACGACTGCCGTACTTCCGAGGACCATAGGAATCACCATGCTGCCACATACACCGCCTCCCCTTAATTGCCGGCCTTCATTCCCAGTGACCGCTTCCGGTTTCAAGTTGGACTGGATAGATCCTCCATTTTTGCAAATTGCAATCACTGTCAAAACTGTGCAGCCGGCCCTGTTGAAAGGCCACAGTGCCTGCATTCGGGACAACTTCGGCCGTGGATGGTGCGCCCAAGGGGCTTGCACAGTCCCGAAAATGATTTTGAATCATGCACAACCATGGGATGCTGCATGTCGGCTTAGGGTGTGAGACATTGGTTCGGTTCAGGAGAAGTTAAGTTTGAGGGATTGAGAGCAGATATGCCTGTGATGCTTTTTGGTCTAGGTATGCACGCACATGTATGAGGCAGTCCAAGGATGCATCGAGGGTGTGATTTTCCAGAATCACGGGTGGCACTCAACCAAACCCTGCAGGTGCTGGTTTACAACCGCCCTGCTCATTCTGGAATGCATCATCGCCATGGTTTCTGAGATGGCGGGGCCGGCGCCAATTAATCAGTGACTTTCCCCTTCCTTGCACACATGCACGTCTTCAGGAGATCTAGGCATGTTGCACAGAGGATGTCAAAGTCATTCTGCTCCGTCGAAGCGGCTCATCTCGCTCGTGGCCTTCTCTCTCCTTAATTACGTGCATGTGCGACTCAGCGCACAGATGGACTGCGATGCAAGAGCCCTCTGGATCCGCTCAGGAGACGGATGGCTCCTTTGCTTGCGCTTGCCACGCCATGATCCGGTGTTGCAGTCGGCAGCCAAAATTCTGGACGAGGCGTTGCGAAGGGAAGGAAGGGAAGGCGCACATCCGTCTAGAGACGATGCATTCGAGGAGGATGCACAGGCGCTGATGGAGAGTCTAGCTCCTTTCTGGCCTGATGAGTCCTACGGAATGCAGCTGTCTTTTGGTGCCAGCTCTGGTGCTGGAGTGGGCCCAAACAAGCTGCATCGCACTCGCGTGGCCCGGCTCGCCCTAGGCTTGAGCTTGTTTATGGGAAGCAAGGCAGGAAAGAGCTCCTGCTCTTGCTGACCCGCTACGACAGCCTGCAATCCTTGGTTGATAAGGTTTGGCACGCCCCGGAGGTGTCCCCTGAACCCAAGCTCCCCGACACGCCCACGAACGAGGAGAACTACGATTTTGCAGCCAGTCTCCTCACCTTCCATTATGGCGAGAGCCTGATCTTCTTCACGCCGTTGGGGCGTGCGCAGTTTCAGTAGCCTGAGGTGCGGTGCCTCGGCTGGTTCGAGGAAGCTATCAGCCTGCCGGCGGCCATCTTGCAAGACCATAATGACCCACACCTGCTGGGATACGGATGGGACCAGCAGTCTCGCAGAAAGTGAAAGAGCGGGCAGCCCATGTTGAGGTTTGTGGGGAGTTTTGTTTTGGAACAGCACGAGCTGCAGAGCCTGCACTCATCTTGAGCTCCCATCCCCGTAATCAACACAACAAGTCCGAAATCCTCATTGCAGAGCGGCGTGGCCGCCGTGGGTCGATTGTGGGGTGCGCCACCCAGTGCTTGGGTCGGGGTCTGCTTCGCAGGGACTGTCGATTTTCCCCGGAGTTGCCTGAGCAAGAGCGCAATCTTAGATCGGACTGTCGAAGTGCTTGGGATCCTGCATCATCAGCATCTTTGTCCTCCTATCAGGTATATAGGGTAAGCTATGGCAGCACACCGCAGCATTGCAGAGAGTTGAGGGTTTCAGGTTGGCCGCGGGTCTTCGATATCGGGCTGCAGAACTTCATTTCAGGGGATTGCACATAGAGGTACTTGGGAAGCTGAACCCCAAAACACTGAAGCTCCAGAAAGGTCTCCCGCATTAGATTCTTCCGGAGTTGAGGTGTGGGATTTAGTGGTTCGGGCGAAGGGGCTCAGAGAGAGAGAGAGAGAAGGTTTTGAAGAAACTTTGGAATGAACCAGCTTTCCTAACCCGAAGTCTGCACTTTAGGAATGGTTCTTGTGCGGCCGTTTTTGGGTTGAGCCGGAGTCGTAACGTCGGTGCAGCAGGACTGGGCAATGCGGTGGCAGTGATCCTCGCAGCGGTAGCAGCGACCTCGGATCTGCGATGCCGCGGAGACATTCGGAGCTCCACGAGGTTTGCACGGAGCATCCGGAGACCCCGCTGTGGAATCAGGAATGCTGAAGTCTGAAGTATCCCCAGCGTGTAAAGGTCTCATTTAACCTAACTCGCAGGGCTCTAAGGAAGTTGGGGGTTTTGATGCTTGCGAACTTGGCCCCAGGTAATCCTGGCAGCTGTGGTGGGGCTCCGCTACCGCGAGATCGAGGTGGGTCTGCAGTTTGGCAAAAATTGTAGGGGACTTGAGACTCGCATTTTAGGACCCCTACAGCGCTTGCATATTCCTGAAGTCAGCCCTGGCCATGCGACCTGGCAATGCCCGCGACGCTGCCAAGACTAAGACGCAAAGCACCAGAGCCCTTGACCCTACATCCGGGAACATGTGCCGAGCACTACCCCTAATAAACCCTAAAAGCTCGCAAAGCCTCACAACCCTCAAGAAAAAAAACAAATAGCCCTGAAACGCAAACGGCTTGAAACACTCAACCCTGAAGCCCGAAATCATTCTCCGAGCCGTGCGAAGGCTTTGGGCATCGCATTCGGCCTTTGCGAACTGGTCTTTGCCCACTCCTCGGCTGCGAGCTTCGTTCCCTGGTTGCCCTTGAAGGGCTCGTCTCATCTGCACCCGCATCCAGTTGTCAATCGGCGACTTTTTGTTGATCGCATTGCCTGGTACATATCACCCTGAAACAGTGTTGGACATCACGGCGTTGTTGCAGTCCTGTTGGTGTGCGTTGGTTGGGGACCACTGACGAGTGCATAGCGCCTCCTTGCGCTCTGGCAGGGTCAAGGCTTAAGTCTTTGCTTTCAAGCGGAAGTGAGGCATGCTTCAACGTCACAGCCAATGCTTCAAAGCCCTCAGTTCTGCAACTTTGCTCTTTGCATCAAGTCTAAGCCTAAGCACTGCTAGATAGAAGTCGTTGACCGGCCCATGCCAGCGAGATGACATGAGATGACTAACAACCTGTCGCGTTGTCCTTCCACTCCGGCCGACGTAGACGCCATCCGCGTGATGCAACCGCATCCCGGCCAAAGCCTTTCACGGCGAGCCCGCAGCCTGTTCCACAGGAGGGGCGCGGGTCATCTGGTGAATTTCAGGGCAGACAGCCTGATCTGGAGCCTGAGCTTGAGCACCCCCAGCAGGTCCCTGGTTGTCCACGATCGCTGCACTCATAATCCTGTTGTCAGCTTGGCGGGTGCGACAACTACTCGCATCTGATCCTCGTATGCAGCAGAGTGCTGTACTTCTGCTGACACCCCAAGCCCCAGGTCAGGCACCTGGGGCAGGGAGTGCGCTCAAGCATTCCAGGTTTGGATGACAAGTTTGGTGTAGCATTACTATTATTATTCTTATTATTATTGTTATTATTATTGTTATTAAGAACGCATCTCAGCCCCAAACCCTTCGCCTCTTCGCGTGCGCAGGACAAGGGCCAGAACCGAGGGTGCAGCTTGGCTGGCAAGTGACACGTACGCTAGCATCTCCACCATCAGATCTGAAGCTCATGATCAACCCTGAACCCCCCTAAACCCTGAACCCAAAAAATCCGAACTCCTTCAAACCTTAGAGTTCTAAACCCTCGAGCACCAAACCACTGAAACCCCGAAATGCGACACGTAACCTTTCGAGGCTTTGAGCCTGCTGCGACTTAGAGGCCCGGTCACCTGAAGGGTCAGGTTCCCAAAGACTTGGGGAGGTTATTATATTATTATATTCTGAAAAAAATTTATATTATTATATTATCAAATTATTATGGGCGTTTAGGGAGGATGTAGGCTTCGGGAAGGGGAGTTAAGGCTGGGGTTTGGTGGAACAGGGTTTGGGGGTCCAGGGCGTAATTCTTGGGGTTTAGGGTGTTTAGTTTCTGAGGCTTGCAGGACATAGATCTACACGCAAAAAGACTGCGCATTCAGCGCCCCAGTCTAAGAGCATTGGCAGCTCTAGGTAGCCTTCAGGAAAGATTGGCTTCAAGCAGGGTGTGTCTGTGTGTGTGGGACGGAGGGAGGGAGTGAGGGAGAGAAATGGAGAGAGGGAGGATGAAGGCTTGTTGTCCACACGGTATATGTCGCCGAGACAGATTCAGGCATGATCAGGCTGCTTCTCAAGCTGCTTTTTCCGAGCACGCTGGAAGGCATCACCCGCATCCACTCCGACCTAGAAACAGAGGCTCCGTTGGGGAGGGGGGCGGGGCAGATAGTAGATATGCAGTAGCCTTTGAACGCAAGGGCCGCGACCAAGCGCGCCCCACTAGCTCGGTGCAGAATTCTTTTGCACAGTGCGCCACAGCTCGCCTGTATCGCTTTCGATGGACACATCACGACTCCTTTGACACTGTTCTAGCGATCACGGCCTGTCTGTGAGGACTCGCTTACGAGACTTCGAGCCAAAGTTGCTCAGAGCTTTCGGACTCCCCGCATGCCACAGCGTCCACGCAGGCGGAATGCGGGCACACGCGCCGCGCGGCCCCTTGGCTGGTAACTCCAGCAGCTCAGGTCTGCAGGAGTAGTCTGTAGCACTGACCTTCGGCCAGTGCGTGAGTAGGGGATTTAAAGCTTTTTCTAGTCATGATTCAAGCAGGGTCCTGCATGCAACTTCATTTGCATCACACTGTCTTGTCGCACCGAAATCTCATTTCATCAACAAAAGCGTCATTGCACTGCTCTGGAGTGTTTCTCACACAAGTCAAGCGAAGCATCTGAAGAAAAACTGGCGACGAAACTTTCCGAAGAGGGGCGGATGAGCTTCCCCTGAAGTGCTTGTCGAGTTCGGGTTCTTAAGATCCTGGAATGGGCTGCGTGCGAGAATCTTGACTGGGGACAACGACATGCAAGACGTGCGGAAAATCCACGAGCCACCGGTCGTTACATGTACCGATGCACACATGTACCGATGCACACATATCTCGAAATACACCGCACGTGCACAAGCAGTTATTCGCTGGCGCTTGACAAGTCTATTTCGCGCATCGTCATTTTGTAAGTTTTCGTCGTCCATGAGCTCGCTCTTGACGATCCAGTCGTGGCTTGTTCGAGTATGTGTTTATGCCTGTATGCTGCTTCGGTATGTCTACATCTCCTGCATCTACGGATGCTGGCTAGACTATATAGCTATATCCAATTTTCCTGCCTACAGACCCAGACAGAGACGGCCAGGGCCTCACCTTGCTGGCACTGAGACTGATGCCTCTGGGGGCTTCGAATCTCCGGCTCAGGCGCGCCGCGCTGCCTCGCCATTGCTTGTGGCGCTGCCCGGCAGCTCAGGCACAGCGTGACCCGGCCGCAACGAGCCCCCCCCCCCTTTTTGGCAGAGGTGCCGGTACATGAATAGTCCTGGTAGACAGCACTGCGGTCGTGAGGCCAAGGGTAGTGAGCTTCTCCGAAGCGGAGTTGTGATTCTGCTCGCAGACAGCTGCTTTACGGCTCCATGTTGCACGTCGTGTGGTGTTTTGAACTGCGAATCAGAAAGTCCTCCTTGTTCCGAACATGTTGACTCTCATAGCGGATTTGATGAGCCCATGTACAATACGACTGTTGTTGGGTGGGTTCGGACTCAAGTCCGTGGTGCAGGCAGGGACGTGATGTTGTGCAGTTTTTTTGGGTGCTTCTGTTGCCATTGAAAACCCTCTTCCCTTCACCCTTTAAGGATGTAAGGACATAGGGTTCTATCCATCAGCACCCCAATCTCTGTACAAAGCCCAGGTATCCGGCGCAAGCAGCACCTGGGCAGAGAGATAAAGACCGTTACTGGAGCTTGGTGGCGTCGTGGTCGTCGCCGAGTGGCTAATATACCCCTTCTGCAGACAAAGCACTTCACCAAGCTGGCGAACATTTGAGCCTACGCATGCTACGCATGCATGACAGGCACCGCTTGCTGCATCGCCCGTTCGCCGACGGTCGGCGATGCTGTGGCAGAAGGCAGGGGGAATTGTCCGGCAGACGATGGAGAGTGTAGCACTGTAGTGGCTCCTCGCGCTTCATGAGTTTGTGCTCCTGCATCCCGATACGATGCGAAGTTGTTGGTGCTACTAACAACCACAATCCTGAACGCATCCCTCACTTGACTTCCGAGATCCTGGACCCAACGTGTCCAATCTTGACCCATACCTCGAAACCCAGTCAGACTCAGAAGACTATCGTGGACCAGCCCAACTCATCACAGTCAGCAGCTCATAATCAGAACATGACTTTTTCTCTTCTACCAAACTAGATTGCCAAGACCCTATGTCAACCCCGAGCCCTGGCCAGGGCGAGCCGGAGCAGATTCCCAGCAAGAAGCCCATGGCCTGGGTGCAGCCCGAGGAGCCGCCCCTCGCCCTGAGTCGAAGCTTGGGTTCTTCTTTGTGTGTGGCTTTTGAGCTTTTCGGTTATATGGGTTGTTTCGGGCCCCTAGGAAGTCTTGTAGGCTTTGGGCTTTCCGGGTTTGGGCCCCGAGGGCCCGAGCACGATCAGCCTCACTAGCTACGGAGAGCATTCCTTGCAAGCCCTTGCACCCTCCGACACTTCCACTCCAGAAGCCCCCGGCAAGAGCTTCCCCCGAAGCCGAGACCCCTCCGAACCAGACCCTGCTGCCCAAGGCTACCCAACAGAGAGGGCGGCAAAGATCCGACAGGCCGCCACGAATCGATGCAGTATAAGGCTTTGTTGTTTGAAGGACTTTCTTCAGGGATGTGGATTCAGATTTCAGCGTTGCGGAGCTGTTGTTTTGCAGCTAAGAGGCCCTCAAGCCCCGAATTCCCGAACGTGCGGAGGCCTTTCTTGCGATAAGGCGCTTTCTAGACCTGCTTTGCACACTTGGTGTTTGGCTGTGGCAAGCCCGTAAACGCCCTTGAAGCACACCGAGACCATCAATCCTCAATCATATAGTCCGCTCCATGCAAGCCTTAATTCTCGCCCAAGAATCAGAAAGCCACGATGGTGGCCAGGATGCCCTTCCGGAACCCTCAAAATCGCATTTAAGGGCCCAGCCGACGATGCGTGAGACGGTGTTGGGCCTGTTTCTGGAGCTAAGGGTATATTCTGGGCAAATGCGGGCTAGCAATATCACCAAGATTTGGGCAGCAAGCGCACGAATCTGGGAATGGAGTGTCACAGCACTACACAGGATCCGACCGTGCCCCAAAGTCCCCAATCATGCGGGCACGTTTGCGCGAATCATGCTCGTGTGCTCTTTTTACGATGCCTTCCTTCTGGCCCTTCTACAGCACAGCATCTCGCGGGGGCCGCTCTGCCTGCGTGAGCTGTTGCTTTTCCGCTTCGTGCCGAAACACTGCGCCTAGTTGGAGATTGTGCTGCTGGTGTTGCCCTGTCTGATTTTGATGGCGTTACCTCGTTTTTGCCATCGCATTGCCGGTCATAGACGCTGACATGTTCTCGGACATGTTCTTCATCGTTGCTGTCGCCTTGTGGGTCTGCCGAAGAGTCTCGTTCTCCACTGGGCGCATCGGTTCTGTTAGCTCTGCGGCACCCACCTTGTTGCATTGGTGTGTGGTGGTCCTATCGAGGAAGCTCAGTACCAGCAGAAGCATGAACATCAGCTTCTCGTCTTGCGGACCATACGTGAGC